AATGCTCCAAGGGCTGGAACAGCTCTGCTGGGAGGACAGGCTGGGAGAGCTGGGGGGGCTCAGCCTAGAGCAGAGAAGGCTCCGGGAAGACCTTACTGCAGCTGCCAGGGCTGAGAGGGGCTGATAAGAAAGATGCGGACAGGCTTTTTATCAGGGCCTGTGGCAATAGGACAAGGGGTAATTGTTTTAACTAAAAAGAGGGCAGATGTAAGGATATAAGGAAGCAATTTTTGACAATGAGAGTGGTGAAACAGTGGCCCAGGTTGCCCATAGAGGTGGTAGATGCCCCATCCCTGGATACGTTAAAGGTCAGTTTGGATGGGGCTCTGAACAACCTGCTCCAGTTGCTGATGTCCCTGGTCACTGCAGGATGTTGGACTAGATGGCCTTTGAAGGTCCCTTCCAACCCAAACTATTCTATGATTCTGTGATTCTATGATTCTTCCACACAAACTAATTTGGAACAGTAACTGAAAGACCAAGTAACTAACTATGAAGAGGACATGTCCTCTGTTAAACATGGCTGTGAATGAGGCCTTTGTGGCGCAGGAATAAAGAACAGTTCGTAGGATTACAGTCTGGGGTTTTTGAACCTGTTTGGCAGATTATAACCTCGAGATTTGGACTAGGGGACAGCTGTCAGCTCCTGTACAATCCGTTGTAGAAAATACCAGTTTAACCCATAAAACCAGTATATAACATTGCCTCCTCATACATGACAAAAGATGACTAATTTAAATTTACAGAAAAAGAACAGTTTGATATCTAGAAAATAACTTGTTCTGGGAAGAAGAAGGCAAGAGAAGTAAATACAAGGCAGTTTTCAGGAGGGACTTTTTATACATTTCCTCAAACTACCTGAAGAACCTGAGACTCCCATTAACACCAGCCCACATTTATCACACATGGTTCACCTCAAAATGATGAAACAGTTTTGCTCAATATTTATGTTTATTAGTTCATTCAAATTCTCACGCTGCATGAAATGCAAACTACAAAACAAATATTTCTTTCATCTTAGCCCTTAATTGGCAAGATCCATTCCTGGTAACATTCCATTAAATACATTAGAATGACAGGAGGAATTATGCTGGCTTCTTCTTTTATTGGTTGACATAATGATGGTGGCTCAAATGTTAATCATAATTGCTATCTGCTTTCATACGCAGGTTTTCTTTCCCTCCTTCCTTACCCATGCTAGGTGAAGTATAATTGATACAAAACTTGGTGCCTTTCTTGTGAAATCAGCAACCCTTATATGAAGCTGGAATTAAGATTTGTACAATCCTGCACTTTTCAGGGGAAAAAATCAAAAGATACATTTCAAAGAACTTTTAAAAATCATCCAGACCCATGCCTTGTCTCCCAGACTACCCAGTTGTATGGTTTATTCACACTTTAGAGGTAAATTCATTGGTCACAACAAAGGTAAACAGCTTCTTAGCCAGATTACAGGCAACTTGTTAAATATATCTTTTTTAGGAAGCTGATCATGTGTTTAAAACACAGAAGAAAGGTAGACCACTCACAGTTAAACTAGGAAAGTCCTAGGAAAAGCTTTCAAAACATGAGGATGGAAGCAGAAGTTGCAGATCTTGGTGCTACAGACACTGAAGGGGATGTGAGTTAACATCAGGGCTGAAGGGGCTTGTACACAAACTTAAACAAATAAATGAAAACCTAAATTATAAAAGAAAATCAACTGAAATCCTAAGGTTAGAAATAATGAGCCGGTAAAGAGAACAGGAAGAGTGCTCTTGACCAGTACAATTTAATAAATTTATTTCAAAATGCTGGGCTGTTTGAATCCAACCACACACTTATGTTACAATAATGACGCACCACTTCATGCGTAAACTACTAAGGAGGGTTTGGGAAGTGCTTGCGAACACACAAGAAAAATGTTTGAACAACCTTTGTGACTATTATTGCTCTTGTGATCCCCTTGGGCCATCTCAAAGCCTAGTGTTGCAGTGTTTTTTATTTGACAAACAACTGATTCATGGGCAAATGAAGATTTCTGAGCCTGGACCAGACACTGTTTATTACACAGAATTTCAGAATATGGGAATATGGGTGGGACACGGCCCATCAAACCTTCCCTGTTTAAAAGCTGGGTGTTTCAGCTGAGCTTGCTGTCTGCCTCCACAGTCAATGAAAGCAAAATTGTTATGTTTTGAGGGTGATACCAATTCTGGTAAAGTAAGCATCTGAGATGGGATGAATTGTCTTGCAGAAATTCTTGTCTCTCCCCACTAAGGATTGGGGAAGCCTGAGTAATTTCAAGTGACAAGTCACTTGAAATCTTGGCAGTCAAAATTGGGCTCTGCAACAATATGCACTCTGCAGGTAATGTCCTGCTAGTCAGGAAAAAAAAAGAAGAGGAAAAAAAAAGAAATTGCAATAACTCTTCCTTGACTAATTCCATTGCTTTTCCTGCCACTTACCCAGTAAGGCTGGGAAGGAAGCACTCGAAAAGTGTTTCTGCGGCATCCTTCAGTGAAACTTTGGTTCAATTCCTTTGTAAGGTGAAGGAGTAAATCTAAGAGTAAACTACGCTTAATGATAGGAACAAAAAGAAAGAGAAGATATAGACCGAATGGATGCAGTGGTGGAGAGAAACATATGATTTCACAAAGAAACTGAGAAATCAGTTTCACTGATTGCCTTGTGTTATGTCCTCCTTTGGAGCTGTGCAATGCCAATACAGAGCAGCTAGTAACTATTAATACGTTTGCATTTGCAGCTATTCTACATTGCTGAACCTGCGAGAGTGTGTGCCTTTGCAGATTCCAGGTGAAAAATTAGGAAAAAAATACTGATAGCCCTTCAGAGAAAATGTTAACCTTTGGTTTAAACACGGATTCAGGCACTAAAATGCTATGTTTTCTGCTGGTCTTGCCAAGCAGTGAGGAAAATTCAGAAGTTCTAAATCAAAAACCATTAGACAATGCCCATGTTTACCATAGGTACAGGACCTCTCTCATGTTTTGTGGCTGTGGGTGGGACAAGGATCAGAAGGTATCTTCCACCTCACTGAACATTTCATTGCAAAATGCGCGAGTAGATTAGATTGCAGCCTAGATCTAAAGCACTTAAATGCAAACATGTACATGACAGCAGGTTATAGCTCTGATTAAAATCATTACGGGAAGTTAATGAAGGAAGTGTTAAATAAATAGAACCAGTTTAATTCCTTCTGCAGTGCCAGTGAGCAGGGTGGAATGATACCAGCAATGAAGCTGGTCAATTAGGCTTCAAGATGAAAGAGAACTGGGAGTTGGAATGTGCATATCATGCTCTTCAGAGATTTAGGGTGATTTTGCAAACAGCAAGCAAAAACAGTTTCATCACTTTGGGACGTTATATGTGCTTCAAATTTGGGCTGGTTGGTGATTATGACTTCATGTATACGGTGTGCCTCAGACCCCCCAGGCAATCTGAAGCACTGTATAAAAGGAGCAGGTACGGAGACATATCCCATCTCCCTCTCCCGCGTACTCTCCTCTACATCAGGTAAGTCTGATGCCATTTCATTTCTTTCTAAACACCAGAATGCCTTTGCACTGGAGCTTAGAATACTGTTCACTACTATTACGTTAGAGTTTTTAGGACTATTTCTTTATTCTCTTTCTTTTTCTCTCCTTTTTTTTTTTTTTACTATGTTGGCAAGTTGTGTTACTGGTAGGCTTTAGGAGTCAAGACCAGGGTTTGAGGCATTTGTTTCACTGTAATTCATATTTGGTTATTCTTGTACTGTTAGCAGATTGAAAATGTAGGATGGCATAAGCTTTAAAATGCTGAATTCTCCTGTACCATTTCAGTTAATGACTGAGTCAGAGAGACATGGCCATATCCTAGGCTGTTTAATGACCCAGCTGAAGAAAGTGCATTATCTACATGGGAATTTTATTGCAGAATAATCCTAGCTGGTATTTAGTTTTTAAGGGTAGGTAAAAACGAAATGCTGCTTATTTTAAACCCTTGTTATTTTCACCAAAGACAATAATAAGGGAAGTAGACCAGTGGCCTGATCCAGTGTGTTTGTCATATGTCCATTAGTAAATCCAGATCCAGATGAGCTGTTCAGATACACTGAGTTCAAGGATTTGATTGTCTGCATTTCAAAGATACTTTATGAACAAAACAATATTTTCTCTTTTTTACTGGAAAAAGTGCTAAGCCACAAGCTTTTGCAACCTGATATTTAGCTGAACCGGTAGTTTGCAAAGTGTGTTTTTATCTGATGAAGGAAATAGGCTCCTTATATTTTACCAACATGCTCCACACTCCATATGAAAGTACACTGCCATGCCAAGAAATACTTGGATAAAAATATTTTCTAGGGTATATTTACTTATTACATCGAGTATATGAATCTATCCTCAGGCTCAAATGCTTTTGGGGTTTTACCAGAGGGATTACAGAGATTAAGAGAAAGTTAAAAAAAAAAAAAAAAAAAAGGAGTAACTGAAAGCATATTACCCCAAATATCTTGAAAGAAACAGGGACCAGGAAAGGAGGAAGAAATGTGTGGTTAAAGCAGTGCTGGGTTCTTCACTCCATCCCATCTCTCCCAAGACAAAATCTGCTTCTGTCCCATTCAGTGCAGCGAGGAGGTCAGCTCTGGTGTTGCTGCTGGCTTTCAACCCACATTCACCCGGGAGGAGTGCTGGAGTTTTAGTAAAAAATGTGCCGCCAACACTCTGTTCCTCTGGGAAGGAATGCGAATTAAAGGAAAAAAGAAGCAGCCATTTCAGAAGGCTTGGCAGATGTGACAAGTGCAGGGATTACTGGATGGGGAAGATCAGAGCAATGCTGATTGACAGGAAAGTTTTTCAGTAGTGTCACCAGCTTTTCTTATGCATCTAGTGATCATTTTGCCTGTTCCGCAACAACCCAGAGCCAAACCTTGACCTGTTGTTCCAGTAGATCTTGTGCTTTGTTTTTATACAGCTCTGTGCTCTGTGTTTCAGGATCACCTTCATCCCTGCAAAGAAATGTCTTGCTACGACCTGTGCCCCACCACCAGCAGCATCGCCTGCCCCCAGCCCATGGCTAACAGCTGTAACGAGCCGTGTGTCCGGCAGTGCCCCGACTCGACGGCCCTGATCCAGCCGCCCCCCGTCGTCGTCACCTTCCCCGGCCCCATCCTCAGCTCCTTCCCCCAGCAAGCCGTGGTGGGCTCCTCCGGAGCACCCGCCTTTGGGGGCTCCCTGGGGTCGGGGGGCCTCTACGGTGCCGGGAGCCTCTACGGTTACGGGGGCCCTCTGGGATATGGAGCCCAGTATGGATATGGGAATCCAGCCCTCTCCACGCTTGGCAGCGGGTACTGCAGCCCGTACTCCTCCCGCCGGTACAGCCGGTTCCTCCGCAGCAGCTGTGGGCCCTGCTAAAGAAGGGCTTTCTGAAGAGCCACACGTGAAGGCCCAAATGCAGAGCAACGAGGATGGAGGTTCAGCGTTCCCGCAGCCCTGCAATGGAGCTACTGCCACTTAGCATTTCTGATCTTTCTTCTACGTTTTGTTTGTCCTGCAGTTTCTAGTTTGTTGTTTGCTATTGTTGCCTGTTCCAGCATTTCCATTTATTTTGACCATCATGGGGCAGCCTATTCCATATGGACATCACTCATAATGACAAGCATCCTCATCAGTAGTTGCACAACAAACAGAAGAAAGCCAGCTGAGGACAGCAATATCTCTGACCGGGACATTTGTTGAACATTCTCTGGAATTGTCTGGAAACAGATTTTTCATATTCTGTGATAGTTCGCTTTGCAAACATAGGCATTTCTTGCTCATTAAAATTTTGTTGCATCACACAGCAATCTTCTGGTTTCCCTTCCTCCCTTCATCCACAGCCTGCCCTGGGTGATACCTTCCCATGGGCAGGACCAAGCTGCTAACTAAGCAGTAGTACTAGAGAACACTTTAGCACAGACTGAATTTACACGGCCTGAGTAGCAGCTTTCCATCCTTTGAAGATATGAAAAGTTTAAAACAACATAGTATCTTCACTCCTGTTATTTATACATGATTTCAGTGCAGCTTTTCCATGAGCATCCAAAGAGAGAATTGTGGGTTTCCAGACTGAGATCAGCATGACCACAAATGCCACCAAGGCGGTGCCCAGCAGAGTACTTTCCAAATGTAAATCTGCACCTATAAATTCACAGGTACAACGCTCCATCTACAGCATTGACATTGCTCAGCAGTACTGTAACTCCAGACATCCCAGGCAGCTTACACATTGCTCTTACTCCTCCCTGCAGTCATCAGCCTTTCCACCCCAGCAAGAAGGAGGAATAATCCCTGTTCCCTCTAAGAAATAACTGTAGTACAGTATCAGGAGCAGCAGAGGCTCAGTGCTTCTAAGCTTCTGGTAATACAGCCAATTCAAATTGTAATGAAGCTGCAAATGAGGCAAATGAGTTCAGTGATGTGCAAACAAAGAATAAAGCCAATCCCTGCCCTCAAGTGCTTTCAGAGTAAATAGACAAGATAAGCATGAGCATTGTTGCTCTTTTCCCTTTTTTGCAGATAAGCGTCTTTTATACAGAGATTAAAGGCTGTGTTTTCCATACCAATAAAAACATTAGTAAATATTTTCCCCAGGTGACACAGGGATCACTTGGCAAAGCCTAGAACTGAATTTGCCTCTCCAATATCTCCATGTAGCTATTGACATAGGGTCTCTGTTTCCAGTTTTCTATTCCACTGGTTAGCTTCAGGTTTGCTTTTCACTGGTACTCTCATCTCCTTCAGGAAAAGAGGAAAATAGCAGCAGATAAGGAGCACACAGTAGAATATTCCTGTCTGTCTCTTTGCTCCGGTGTCAGGAACACTGACATTTATTGGGACAGGGAGAGTTTCAGTAACGCTAACTTCCATGTTAATATTCAAATTTGCCTGTAATCTGGGTCAGTACTCTGACTGTTATGTGTGGGTCAATAATGATAGTGTTTAGAAACAAAAATATCCTTTTTTTTCCAGACAGAACTCTGAAAATGAGATAGTCAGTCCATCATGTTTTCATGGACTTCTGCTTATTTTGTCTGAAAGACTGTACGTGACACGGCCAGTAGCACACAGGACATAGGAAATTTTACAGATCATAGAATCATGGAATCGTGGAATGGTTTGTGTTGGAAAGAACTTTTAAAGATGGTCTAGTCTCAACCTGCCTGTCATGGGCAGGGACAGCTTTCACTAGATCAGGTTGCTCAAAGTCCCATTCAACCTGACCTTGAACACTTCCAAAAAACAGTGACCTAAAGATTCAAGACATGGCTTATTATATCTTTTTTTCTAAGTAAAAGGGGAGAATGAGCTAAAAAAAGTTTCCTTTCTTCAGGTTTCTCTGCTAGAGCATTTTAGTTTAAACATCTGAAACATTCAAGTTCAGATCCTCCAATTTCAAAACTGATGAAAGGTAGACTGCAAGCAGTCACTTTGCTAACTCCTCCTGAATCAAACCCTGGAAGGAAGCTGGCATTCAGCAGTGCATATTTCTGGTTCTGTTATGTTAAGCCATTGTGCCTGCAGGCTGTTTACTAGTGGTGTGAATTTGAACCACATAAAAAACCATTAGGCTCTACTAGTGACTAAATATTTAGTGAATCCACCTATTTAAATCAAACATGAAGGGCTTAACTCCCACAGATATCTGACTGGAACTGTCATTTAGGGTGTATATACTTCAGGCTGTGTTTACAACGTCTTTATGAATCAACTTCTGATTGCATCTCATTTACCAATAGTCTTACCTTGTACTAGGATATAAACACATGCTCAGAGCACATTTAGACAAGAGAGAGGAGAGTGTAGTGACCTCTATAGTTCAAGGTGAGACAGTGTGATTTGATTTATTGTTGCTTCCTGTTCTTGATAATTACTTACTTCGCTGATAGAAGGAACAGAAGTCTGAGTTGCTGTTGTTAACTGTTGACAGCCTGGACTTCTCATGGCTGACCAAGAACTGCAGAAGACCTCGCAGTTAGACCTGATCTAGTTGAAGATGTCCCTGGTCATTGTAGGTAAGGTGGATTAAAAGGTTTTTAAAGGTCCCTTCCAACCCCAACCATTCTACGATTCTATGTGACCCCTATGCTGCAGTGGCCAAGAAACCATCAGAATCTCAGCACTGCTTCCAGATTATTATGATAAAGAGCAGGCAGTGTTCCTCCCACCTCTTATCTGCTTGTTCTGTGACATGAGATGCGTTGGGTCTGCCAGTGAAATTAGTTCTCTTCTGCTGTGTTCATCTGTGATTACACCGACATGAAAGTGTAATCCAAGTTCAGCCTGCTGTGCATTTGGGAAGTGGCAGATTGCTGATGGTCAGGAGCAGTACAGAACAATGGAAGGCAGTTAACGAACTGTCCTTCGGTGTTTGCTCTGGTCTATGGTCATAACATGCAAATTCAGGCTGGCAGATGAGAATCAGCAATGCAAATTTTGCAGTTCTTGCTCTCCAAGGGACAGTCTCTGCAGGTTACTTTACCAAATAATGGTGTTGTGGGGTTCTATGTCTTCAAGCACCATTCAAAGTCAGTAGAGTCCATCAATCAATACACACTGCCGTGATCTGTTTATAGTCCAGGCTCTAACTTCTGGCTCCCACGTTTGCCTTTCCTGTAGTATAACAAGCATGTAGGCCGAGCAGCTTCATCCAGCTATGCTGACAACATCCACACTGAAGGATGTGTGACTGCACCCTTTCACTGCAGCATGAGAAACTGGCAGCTATCGCAAGTCCAGGGCAGAGGTGCAGCAAGACAGGCTGAGAAGAGGATCAATGTAATTCTACTGTTCTCTGCGGGATGAAAAAAAAGTCTTGAACAGATGACTTCTGTAGTGATCAACACCATAGTGATGTGTCTCGAAAATACTTGATCTGGTTGCTTTAGTGCTCTGCATACCTACACAAATAAGGACTGCTTTTTGACAGCGTCCTAGTGACTCCAAGAATGATTGTGCAGTGCATGGGAGACAGAGAAAGCATGAAAACAAGATGAAGCCTTCAGACACATCCTGACAAGAAAGAGGTGTTGCCTGGCTATCTCATTGTAGCCTCATCTCATTTCAGCTACTTTTACAAGTGAAGTCACACCTCCAAACCCTTTGAAGTTATTACCACATGCTTGATCCTGTCCAAACAAATTTCTGTAGCATGAGACTGAGTTTTGCCTGGAAATAGCCTGCTCAAGTATTGCAAAGTTTCTCAGTGCGTTGCTGGTATTCCTAGGAACAGCCGATTCACACAGGGAAGAGCAGAAGCCCTGAGCAGTGTCTGATGTCTGGTCCATCAGAGTCCTGGTTGGCATTGCAAGCGCAGGATGGGGTGAATGTCTCTTAATAGCTGTACTAATTGTATGCAAATTGCATCGCTAGAAAAACAGCTCTACAGGACATACTGAGCAGCCTGGGATTATGTCACTGTTGAACAAAGACAAGTGCTGAACATGCCAAGTATCCACAGTCATCTGCGAGTAGCCTGAAATGTGGGTGTAAAGTTCCCGAGATGGAAAATATTATTTGGCCTGAATAGTATGTGTTGCTCTGCAGAGGAGACTTAAGAATTATTCTTTTATTTATTGTAACTGGAATGGCCAAGAATTTAGAGGTATTTAACAGGAAAGTTCAAAGAACTCACAGAATTTCAGCAAAGATTTGCTATTCAGTTAAAAATTCCTGTTGACTATTTAAAGTTCTACCTACAGGTAGTTACATGTTATTTTTAAACAATGAAAAATGTCATAAAACCAATGTATGGGGGGGATGTAATTAAATTGGTGCCTCGGGCAAACAGTGAGACACAGGGAAGAGCTTCAAAGTTACTTGTGTGTTTAACTTTCTTTGCTAGCATGTAGTAAAAACACACTGTAACCACACCTGTCCTGGAGGAGATTTCAAACTCGGTTGTAAGGGTTACAAAACATGTTTATCCAGCATGAAATTACTTTTGTGCAGAAGGCAGTCATTATGCTGGCTCTTGCCTAAAGGACCTGGTCATCTTCCAACTTTAGATGTTGAAAGCAAGCCACTGTCATCCTTCACTGCAAAGATTGATGCTCACCCAGGAGGGTGTATAAACAAAAAATGGTGGACAAAAAAAGACAAGAAAGCTCAGAATTCTGATGCACAATAATTTAATGAGAAAGTAAGATGTAAAAAGATCGTACCGAAAATTAAAAACACAGGGAAAATATTGCCAGGGTCTCATTAAAGGCTGCAAGCAAAGAATTGCTCCAGGGCTATGCATTCCACATACATTATTCTTTCTTTTTCATGGCATGGGAAGACTTATGCAATCTCGTCCCACTTTTAACCAGCCAAAGATCATTGATATAACTAATTCAAGTCCATTATTATCAGGAAGCCCTGGAAAGAATAGT